GTTCTTATGTTCTTATGTTATTTGGTTAATCGTCCAGTCTGTGAAGAAGGTATTCAAGTAAGAATTGCATTGCAGTATGACTCATTTCCTGGCGCGTACAATTTATATTAGGTCAGCGTTCACGGTTCGACTTCTGATATTCAGATCGAGTTCTAGGTCAAACTGGTTTGTTCGACTTTCAAGAAATTCGAGTTCTAGTGAGTTTGAGAACCGAGGTACCACTGTATATGAAAACATGAAATTAAAATTTCTTTCATAATTTTACTGCTAGAAACCTGTGTCTTTTTCTTCATGATAACTATATTTTCTGAGAAGAAAAACTATTTCACATTAGAATACAGGTGTACATATAAAACAACAAAATAAGAATTTCTTCTCTACCGTAAAAAGTTACTGATATCCTGCTGGACGGCTAGATGAACTCCGCTTCAGTGCCCAAACCTCTCCTCAGGGACACCTCAGCCATTCCATGTTTTTGCTAAATTTCACCACCAACTCACCTCATTAGTTAGATAAATAACTCAGGTATTGATTAGTCAAAGAAGGTCTGCTAGTGGTTGAGCTAAAAAAATACATTAATGTATTGGAAGGTTACTGAAAATCCTGGGGTGGAATTAGAAGAGGTTTTGAAATGGCTAAGCTGACACATTTTATTTATGACTTGTATAGTATTGTATGTTTTATTGTCTTTTTGACTTTCCTTGCTTTAAATTTTCATACAACATCGATCATAAATTGGACAGATTTATCATGTTTGAATTAATTCATTACGTTCTGTTTCGTCTCTCAGTTCTGCTGACACCTGGTCTATGCAAGTATATCATAGTATGTCAGGAAGAGGATGAAGACATACGAGTCGACTGCAATATTGAGTCTAAAGCCAACCAGCTTCCCACCTACACGTTTATCATGTCATCGGGGAAGAAGGAGCATATCATTAATACCAATTCCACTACTGAAAAGGTTGCCGACAATTTCAAGGATAAATCCACTGTGGAGCAATTGCCTACGGGGGGGTTCAGGCTGACAATGAGCGGCTACCAGCCGACAGAAAATACCACCTTCACCTGCAGATCTAATACTGGCACTAACCCTGATCATATGGTCGTTGAAAAAGGTAAGGAAACAAATTAAATAATTTAATATTAACAAACTGGTTTAAATTACAAACTAATAAAAATAATGATAGTTATTGTACTTTCTCATCTATATTATTTTTATAGCTATTAAAATTGTTATTGTTGTTGTTAGCTGTCGTGATGTATGCATAATGTAACTTCATGCCTGGCGCGGGATTTCTTTCCGGCTTGCAGGGAAAATGCTTCCATGTTCGACGATCAGCGTTTACCTGCACAGCAGTTCCTGGCTCTTCTACCTTCTGCTCACATTCTATTCCATTCAGAGCTGGCAGCTGGTGAGCCTCTAAGAAAATAACATCAAGTTCCATTGATAAAAATCTGTAGTCATGGGGTAGTTGAATACTTGTGAATCCATTTGGAGCATTATATTAAAAAAATAAATAAATAACAATCAATGACCTAAGAAAGCGCATGTATGTGTGACCCCCGGTGGTCTGTAATCCATTTTTACAGCTTCATTGGTTTCTTTAATTAGTATGTATCAATGCTGATGTCCATGTATTATGAGTAAGTAAGGGGGAAGGGAATGGAATTTCTATATAGTAATCAAATGCCAATCTTTCCTCTGAAGCAGCCTTATCTTAAATCATCAGCTTGTTACTTCCAGAAAATGGCAAGAAGATTGATGAGCTTGACAGAAATAGTAAGGATGTATCATTTCTAAGTGTTGATGTAATATGCATTTGTCCCTGAGCAACTGTCCTTATTCCTGGTGTGCAGCCATGAAATGAACATTTGTCCAAAGTATAAAAGCGAAAAAGGACAAAAGCGAGAAGGTTTTTTACAAAGAAACATAAACCGCCTCTTTCAGAATTTCTCCAAAGTCTGCAATGACAATGACAATGACAATGACATAATCAAAATGTTCCATTATTCCTTAAATGGTTTTTGATTTTATGTAATAGAGTCTGACTGGGTTCAGTTTGATGAGAGAGCATTAAAATAAGAAAAAAAAAATCATCTTTATGATTTAGTTTCACAGAGGTTTAATGTGCATATGTTACACTCAAAATTTGCTGTTGACAACAATTTTATCTTCATAAAAAGTATCCCTTTAAGTGCATGATTACAGCAGACATGCTTCTCTTGCGAACTGCAGGCGATTCCGGGTTTATCAGTGTTACCCTGTCCGTATTTAACTACAGCGAGACATCAGGCAGCAGCAGCATTGTGGTGTGTATAAGCATTAATATTAATGTGCTACACTGTGTATGAATCCTAATAGAGCCACACTATACTACAAACAGGTGGGGTCACAAGTAACATTTTCTTTGACCAACTAGTGTTTGCTTAAGCTGTTGCAAATTGTGAATGCTTTAGAAGTATATTCAGTGCTCAGGTATATATATATATTTTCATGCAGTATTGAAACATTATACATGAACGATTATTAAATATCCAACTTTGTCTCTGCATATGGACCACAGTTTCATATACCAATTTCCTGTAAAGAATTAACCTTACACAATTTATTAAGCTCAGTGTTTCACAGAATGTTATTCAAAGAAAGCATATATGTTAATACTATATGGTTGTGGCTGTTGGAAATAAGACCTAACTTAATAGTCTTTGAAACATATTGAATAAAGTGCTTTATCAGTATAACTACCTAAGCTTGACTTTTTTCTGAGGTGAGAATTTCAGATGTGTGTGAATCTCTGTGTGGTCTTGCCTCTGCATCCCTCTGTCCATCCTGACAGTTTATGTTCTGTGTTTATTCGTTTATCGTCCCTGGAAGCATTTAGTAAATGACAGGCCAACCTAGCAAAGATTACTATGGCATTATGGGTAAATGCATCCATCCATCTCCCATAAACACAGTCAGTCTAAAATCAGTAGAGCATTGTTTCCCAACCTGCTCTTCTGGGACCCTCAGACATTGGAACCAACAAACTCAGAGCACAACATAGGAGACACCCAGGGTGGGACAGCAGTCCATCACAGGACACACACCTATTACAATTTAAAGATAGCAGTTCATATAACTGTATGTCTTTCGACAGGAGGAGAAAAGAAACCACACACAATAAGAAGAACATAAATTCAACAGAGACCCAAATCAAGAGTTGTGAGGAGCCTCAGTGAGCCAGTGCCCTGTTATTTCAGGGCTGGCTAACGCTGATCCTGGAGACCAACCACCCTGCAGAGCTTAGGTGCAGCCCTAATGTAACACACCTGACATGGGAAATCAGGCCCTTCAGTATCTCAGTATTAAAGCCAGCTTAGTTTCAACCTCCAGTTCAATACTTATCTGAATCAGGTGTAGTGCATTAGTACTGCAGGGTGGTAAGTTTCCAGGAGTAGGGCTGGGTAGCGGGCCACATGATGGTGCAGTGGTTAGTGCTGTTGTCTCACACCTCTGGGACTTGGGTTCAAGTCTCCACCAGAGTTCCATGTGTGTGGAGTTTGCATGTTCTCCTCATGTCATCATGGGGTTTCCTCTATGTACTCTGGTTCCCCCTCCCCCCACAGTCCAAAAACATGCTGAGTTTGACTTACCAAATTGCCTGTAGGTGTAAGTGTACCCTGCAATAGGCTGGCAGGTTGTTCCCTGCCTTGCACACATAGGCTCTGGACCCCCTATGACCCTAATATAGGATTAATGGTTTCAAAAAATGGATGGATGGGTTGGGTAGCCCTGTATTATACAGGAAATTCCACTAAACAAAAACAAACAAAGATTTTAACTGGTAAAGGCTCAAAACAAGATATATAACTACCAATAAATAATTGAAGAAGGTAACCAGATAATCCATGTCAGGGAGGATATTTTAACCTAGGACAGGATTTGTAAACTATCATTTCAATTAAAAGGACCTGAATTTCTCTTAAGCGCTGAATTCTTGTTTTGTGCTGATTAGTCATGTCATGCATGTGTCACCGATGTTAATCTGAAACAGCTGGCTGAGTCTTTAAATCAATCAGTCAAAGCACAAGAGGAATTGAACTATTTAGCCAGGCACTGTAGTGCATGGTCCTTTATTTAACAATACAACAGGTATTATTGAAAAAAACATTCTCTAACAGCGTTTCCCAAACTGTGGGTCGTGGCCCCCTAGTGGGAAGTTAGGGTATTGAAGGTGGGCCGTCACATGTCGCTGCAGAGCTTTTGTAGGTCAATTAATGAGAAACTTGACAGCAAGCTAAACCACCAAAAAATAGATTGATGGCTGTCAATTAAACCAAAAAAGATTTAAAAAAATGAAAAGCAAACAGCAACTTTAAAACGAAAGGTTTGGAGAAAATGCCGTAAGCAGTGAGTATTTAACATTTGATTACATCACCAACCCTTTCATTAGGTAAGTGAGCATAATTATGAAAAAATAAAACGGTACTTTCATCACAGTATTGCAAATATACAAATAAAGTTGATATTTATATTCAGACTTTATTCTTTTCTGTGGCCATCAAACGTCTAGCTAACTGCAAGGCAAATGATCTTGCACCATCAGTTAGATACCATAGGCTGCAGGTGGAGACATCGCCCAATCTCTACCGATTTGTTAAAGAAAAAGTACTTGTGTTGTTACTATGCTATTGAAGACCGAATCAGGTTGACCATGAAAAATGTTACGATTAACGATCGCTGTCAATATAAATAGAGTAAAAAATACATAATTGCTTTATAATTGTAGTTGAGTATAGAAAGTAAAAGTTTCTAATATTGTTCATGCGCAGTAGAAGTAAAAAGTAGCCAAAAGGCTTAAGTACAGTAACGAACTTTCTAAACCGCCTTAAATATCGTATTTGTAAGTCATATAGTTTGAGAAACAAATTAAAATGATCAACATCAATATATAATTTTCTCAAAAATTCAGCACGGGCTGAACAGAATGCTAACCGATGACGTTTACACTAACATTAAACGTCATCAACCTTCGCCGACCGCACTCTCGCTGTAGGTACTCTCGCGCTTTGGAAACCACTTTTTGGCCGAGGTTGGCTTCCGTAGCTGAAGTGAAAGCGCAGCCGACCGAGAAAATGGCTACTACCAGCAGCGCTGACAAGGATTCGGTTCTTTCTAAAGCAGAGTACCTCAAGAGGTATTTGGGAGGTGATAACGATGGCAAACAGTCCAAAGACAAGAAGACGAAACGGAAGCGAATTAAACGCGTTGGAAAAGGGTGCGTGGTACATCAATACACTTCTTATTAAAATGAATGTAATGGAAAGTTTGACAGGTATTTGTTCGTCGCTGTTCCTAGAAAATTTCAAAATGAGAATTTCGTTTTAGGCTAAAAATAGTTGATGACGATGTGGACTGGAAGCAGCTGGTGAACATGGACGAAAAAGAAAACCATGATGAAGAAGACGATGAAGAAGAGGCGCCTGTGGTACTCCCACTTATCTGTTCTCTAATAGTATCCATCGTTTATTTTAGGTTAGATTTTGTTTGATAACTCATGCATTCAAAGTTTTGTAAAAGGCAAATGAATTGCATAATTGTGGATTAATTTATAGAGTGCGATGTCGTTAACAGGTAATCCCATTGCACCTACTCAGGTACATGAACTAACGAGCCATAGTCTGTTCCTTGGACTTAATTGCTCTTGTTGTATTTCAGTTATTGATCAATGTTTGTTACAGTTGCGCTAGTATCATGGACATATTTTGACGCACAGGTGGCAGAAGTTATAGATGAACGGCCGAATGAAATAAAGTGCTTGGAGGAGTTCAGGACTAGCAATAAGTGGCGCCTTCTGGGAGGTGAGAGGAGAAAATACTCCGAATCACTGTTAGCTTGTGCATTATCAGTTTAATGATAATGCTTTCTGCTTGTTATTGAAGTATGCATCTGAAAATATGATCCCATCATTTATAGATACAAATGAAGAATCCCAGGAATCTCAAGAGTCATTTGGCTCCTCTTCTGTGCCAAGGTAGTAAAAATTGCATGGACAGCTTTGGTGTGTAGTAATAATCTGAAAAATAACATAAGTAAATGAAATCCTCATGTTTCTCATTGCTTTATGCAGCTATTATCAGACAATTTTACACAAGTAACTGTGTTTAAATAGTGTGGTCAAATAGTGTGTTAACATGTGAAGTTGGGTTGGTCAAGCCACCGCATGATGCAGTCGTTTTGCTTTGCATGTAGATATAATGGATTCTGTTTATGTCAGACCGCCATGTATTTAACAACTACTAATTTTTGCCTGGCACTCATTTTCTGCACACTCGTCTACTGTTATAATAAGTACTTAATACCAAGGCATTACAGTGCCGTGTTTCAATTGTCATGTGTACATAGTACAGACACTCCTCTACTTACGAACTTTTAGACATACAAACGAAGAGGACTGTAAGTCCAAATTGTGTTCATTGGGCTCCCGTTTCCTGTCCGCAACATCAATTTTTTTTTCTGCGTGCCAATTCCGCCTAGTATGGCTACTCCCGCCGCGCAGCAGCATAGCATGCGTACTCCCAGCATCCTAGTTCTTTGTACTTGCGTATACCCTTAAAATGATGTTGAATAACGACTTACGAACATTTCAAGTTACGAACGGCTGTTTGGAACGTATCTCATTAGTAAGTAGAGGAGCATCTGTATATGAAACTCTTGCATGCCTGCAACCTTCAGACTACTGCCAATAAATGCATGACAGTAAGAACCATAACAAATAATACTGCCGTAGACTCCACATAAACACAATAAGACGGGCAAACTTTAGATTTGGTGTAATTTCTGAACTTTGCAGTTTAAGTTCTGAGTATTCCTAAATCTGCACTATATAGAAAGCAAAAGCCTTTTTGTGTTGTAACTGAACCTTTTTTGCTCTTTTTCTTTTTCAATGAATAAACAAAATAGCACAGAAGCAACATCTCAACAGAAAACCACAGCTTCAAAGGGAATGAGGAAGAAGGGTTCTTCAACTGCCACGACAACAAAAAGGGCTCGCCATGATTCTCCTGATGTTTCACCCAAGAGAAAAATGCGTCACGACTCTCCTGACCAATCGCCAGTGAGGAAAATGCGTCACGACTCACCTGACCAATCGCCAGTGAGGAAAATGCGTCACGATTCACCTGACCAATCGCCAGTGAGGAGAATGCGCCATGATTCACCTGACCAATCGCCAGTGAGGAAAATGCGCCATGATTCACCTGACCAATCGCCAGTGAGGAAAATGCGTCACGACTCACCTGACCAGTCGCCATTGAGGAAAAGTTCTTTGTCATCCTCTCATCCACAAAAGAAGCAAAGCAGTCCCCATTCCAGCTCACAGAAAAAACAAACAAAAGGTACTTGGTTTTGTCATTGTAAATTAGTGAATTTTGTTACATTTCCTCAAAAGGTACACGGCTAAACTCTTAACATGAGTGACACAACAGCAATATCAAATATCAAAGTACAGTGTGATTGGGACTGTGCTTAACGTGGTGGAATTTATCCATGGATAACAAAGTAATTCTTTCTCTTTTAAGGTTCTCCATCTAGAAGCAAGACTCGAGGTCATCCTGTCAGGCATGAGTCTGATTCTGATCTGTCCCCACCAAGACTCTCCGGAAAACACTCCCCAGATCTTTCTCCCCCACGGAAACAATCACAGCATCGAAAGAGGAGAGACTCCGATTCGGACCTCTCCCCTCCCAGAAGGGTTTCGCGCCACCCTTCAGAAACACCAGCGGCAAGTTTCATTCCTTCATACATTCGTTCAGTTGTTTGTTTATTATCTTTTTTGATTGGTGTTCTCTGTATTAATACTCAAATATCAATGAATTTCTCCTTTAAGATCTGGATGATACTCCAGGGTGGTATGACAGTAGTGCAATTATGAATGTAAAGGTGTTCTTGTCCATAACCCAGGGCCCGCAGATGCTTTCCGGAGGTACAGCAGGCCTGGTGTCAGTAGAGGTTCTGAGAAGGGAGCGAGAAGTGAACCGCAAGCTAGAGAGCAAGAACGTGTCTCTGGAAGGTTAGGGGCAGCACCCTCTGCGTACTGGCATAAACACACGGCTGTTATGCTTATGTTTGTCATGAGAGATGCCATAATAATGCCGAATTATTTTCAGATGAGTCTCGCAATGCACAGACCATCTTCAGAGACAAATCAGGGAAGAGACGGAATATTGATCAGGAGCGGGAAGAGCAGCAGAAGAAAGCTGGAGAGAAGGCTGAAAGGGACATGAAATATTTTGAGTGGGGGAAAGGGTAAGTATTTTGTTATTGGTGAATAAAGAGAGATGAATAAGTGGAGTTCTTGAGTCTTCCCTCACTGAAATGATCAAGGTAGGACCAAAATTATCCAGGATTTTTGATAAATGTCTTTATTTTTAAATTGGTACTCGGCAACAATCCGACAAGTGACAAGTAAAACATGAAATGATCCCACATAATCACATAGAAACTCCTTAATACCTCAAAGTGATTTGTTATGTAGAATGAATAATTTTTCTTAATGTGGTAGCTTGATGATTTTCAAAGAGCCAGTCTTATACTTTTCTGTTATTTTGAAAACTTCATTGGTGTAATTCTGTAGGTTTCGCCCAAGTCATTCAACACATTTAACTAACTGGCCCAGTTAAGCTGAGAAAATGAGTTTAAGTAAAAACCAGGGACGTATTCCACAAAGCAGAATTTCCCAGTTAGCAGGAAAGCTTAAGCCAAATGTGAAAACTGTCCAGTAGGAGGAGAGGTAATTAGTGACATTCCTAATGGACAGTTCTTACATTTGGCTTAAGTTATCTGGCTAATGAAGAAATCCTGCTTTGTGGAATTACCCCCCAGATTTCACATCGCACCAGATGAGACCATTAATCAACAAAGTTTATGAGCTACAGCTTAAAGTAAGGTTTTTAACCAGTGTCTGGTGTGTCCCATGAATATGCTCAAGTAAGCTGAGCGACGTTTGCGTGTTTGCGTGGCTGTATCTAGGGTGGCGCAGGGCCAAATGCAGCAGCAGAATGTGCAGGACGCACTGAAGGAGGTGGACAAACCACTGGCGCGGCACATCGACGACGAGGACCTAGACCGCATGCTGCGGGACCAGGAGCGGGAGGGGGACCCTATGGCCGCAATGCTGCGCAAGAAGAAGGAAAAAGACTCACAGCGCAAGGGAGTTAAAGGTCTGCAATGCCTGGCCTGCCTTTGTAGATTTAAAGGGCTATTACTGGAATATTGGTTCTGAAATCTGTTTTTTTTATTTATTTATTTTTAATTACATAGAGAAACCTCGTTACAAAGGACCAGCCCCTCCCCCGAACCGGTTTAACATTATGCCTGGGTATCGTTGGGATGGTGTGGACAGGTATGACCGTCCGATTTTTGCATCCTCCTCTCTGTTTTGTTTCGTTCTTGTTTATAGTGTAAGCCAGATGCATTTAGTAAATTTTTTTATAAATGAAGAATATTCGTGAATGAGATGTGAACTTTGAACAATTCGTACTGCAGGTCAAATGGGTTTGAGAAGCAGCGGTACAGCCGGATGGCGGAGCAGAAAGCTGTACAGGAGGTGGCGTATAAATGGAGCGTGGAGGATATGTGAGCCGGGTGGCACATCTCTGAGAACGCTCCGGAAAGATCATTTTGGTTATATACTGTACAAAAAAAAATCTGTTTTAAAATTTTAATGGACTCTAGCTTTTTTTTTTTTTTTTTTTTATATAAATAAAATCCAACAGTTTTCTGCCATCTTTTAATGTATAAGTATGGATTTTTTTTTGCTTCTGTATATTTCCTGTGAAATCTGGAAGAGGCGGTTTACCTAATTTCTCATCATTTTCCCTGGTCGGATGATTCTGAAGGTACCGACGCAGTCGACACACTGGGAGGCTGATTGGCCTTAAAAAAAATCCGTGTTTAGGAGGGTTGGGGCTTCAGCGCCGACTCTGTGGTATTTCTGAGTGCAGACTCACCGATAAGCCTCTCGATGTACGGTGCTGAAATCCTGCTCTCCCTGGACGGCCACCATCTCCGGCCGCTTGCAGTTAGTCACCTTTTCTGCCCTCTTTGGCACAAATGTCAGCAAGTTTGTTGTATCACTCTCAAACTTTCCCTTGAAATAAGAAGTTAAGCATCATGTAGTCTAAGGGACAAATGAATTGGTCGGAACACTAGACAAAAATGTTTTTCTACTCAGTTGCAAGCATCTGTTTCCTCTTAATGTAACAGAATCGATATAAGGAAAGCGAAATCAACAAGTTTCAGGACACGGTAATCGATATAATTTGCTTATATAATGTATGCCGATATAGTTCTTCGTACTGCTTGGGTGGTTACAGATTACACCCGTCGTACAAAGCACCTTTGGTGAATGTGTTAATGGTGACTACAGTTATACAGTATCGGTCAAAAGTATCGACACCTACTGAAAATCTTTTTTTTTTCCTTTCCAACTAAATAATGACCCCCCAAGCACACCTTGAGGTTATGTAAGCACTTGTATCTTGTGAACCGGGAAAGAGATGGAGTGTTGTGATAGATGACCTGGCCCCCACAATCCCCCCCCCGATGTAAACCCTGGTTTGGGATAAGTTGGATCGGAGACTTGGTGAAGTAGCCAACTCATGCCAGGAACTTATGGAAACTCTTTCATGACTTGGAGATGCATTCCAGGTAGCTACATCTGGAAGCTGGTTGAGAGAATGCCATGAATCTGCAATGATGTCATTGAAGCCTAAGGGGGCTATTTTACAGAGACTAAAATTTGAGGTGTTGAACACTTCTATCGGTCATTGCAATGTTTAGTATGTGTTACTTCATTGCCTCGGGGTCTTACACTATATCATGAATAACAGCGAAAACAGAGACAGGTGAATTAAAGGCAGGTGTGTCCAGACCTTGGTACTGTATACGGTCATTAAGCATTTCATGTCAAATCTTATTAGGACAGCAGGTTGAAAACTAATGCTGAATATTGCTTCTGCATTAACAGAAAATGCCCTCACCACAGGCTTCGCGTGACCCGTGTCGTAGAGGTCGCCGTGTCGCACCCGCGTTTTGACACCCCAGTCTCTGAAGAAGTCCCTGTTGGATGTCTGTCCATTGAAGGGTCCCTGCAGCAGGTCCAGGTTGGACCCCCGGGTTTTAATAGGCTGCTGGCGGGCACTGACCAGTGGGAGGCGCTGAAAATCCAACTGTACAGAAAGATTTTATGAACAAATGTGCATTATTCTGGAGTGAGAGAGAGAGTGAAGTTTAGGTTGGTTAAGGAACAAAAACCAGTAAAAAAAAAAAATCAAGGTTTCTGTTCCAGTGATAATTCATGAGCTACTTCATTTTTGTGTCAACATTTTAAATTGGTATAAAACAAAATTAGAAATTGATGCTACTTACCTTGGTAACTGTGTCACCCTGGAACTCTGCATCACCATTAACCACCAGTTCTTCTTTGAGTTTGGCTGGCTCAGGTCTGAGGTGCTCAGAGGCATCCCAGCCAGGGTAGGAATCCATCTGTACTGTCCTGAAATCACTCCTTGAAAACAGATGGGGTGCTCTTAGACAAAACCCCTTTATTGCAGTCTTTAAATGGCCTTGATTTTGAAATGGATACCAGAAGTCAAATTTAAATACTTGTCAGAGGATATCATATCATATTTTTTTATTATTATTATTTATGAGTTATCTTTTGCCTTGAAAAACTGAATTCAAATCCGTAATATAAATAGTGGGCTTCATAAATTATCAAATGTGATTTTGTGATTTTGCTTATTCATTTTAAAGGCTATGTCTTTTTTTATTTTACTTGAACTTTTCACTTAACTTTTTCTTTAATTAGACCAGAGTTCTTCAACCCTGGACCTCAGTTTTAAATCTCGACCTTGTTTTCAGTTCTCGCAGATTCTGATTGGCCACAGAGGCTTCACACCCAGCTCACAGGTAAAGGAAGGCTGGGAAATCAGCAGGGCTCAGCCCTCGAGGACCGTGAGTCGCATAGCTCTGAATTAGACCATCGGAAAAAGTACTTAACTATTCATCTTAATTTAATCTGAGCATTTTCTTCAATAATTGAGAAATGCTTATCTAATAAAAAATATATATATATTATATAAAAAATAGAGCTGTGCAATAAATGGCTAAGCTAATTCAGCATTATAAAATGATACTGCTAAACCCTGTAAGCTACTAGCCTATACAGTACATAGCTTATCCATAAATATTATTTTATAACACTGTATCCCTGAGATGAGAGCTGAATGGTCTTACCTCAGCGCTAGATTGATGCCAAGGTTGTCAGGATGCTGCATGGCTGGTGATCTCCTTTGGGGCTTACAGTCTCTCTGGCGGAAATCACATCTGTACTTGGTCAGATGCTCCATAGGAATAGGAGCCTGCGTGGGCTCTGCTCTCGGCGCTGCTCTCTGCTTCCGCGCGGCTGCAGCCTCCACGTGCGGATGGGGTTTGTATTCCTCCTGGTGCGTCGTCACAAACTGTCTCTCTCCTGTAGTAGTAGTTCGTCTTACATTCCATTCACTTTTTATAAGTAAAAATCAAGCAAGAGCTCATAAGGAAGAAGTAGAACATGGAAGATTCTAACCTTCAAGTTTAAGACTCACAGGCATCTGCTTCTGCTCTTGTCTTTCTCCACTTTTCTGGACGAATTCTCTCCTCGATGTCGTTTCCATCTTCTCTCTTTTGTCTGGATAAAGTAATGAGCCTATGTGGGGAAAAAAAGTGATTCTGAACCTTGATTCCATCCATCCATCCATCCATCCATACATCCATCTCCTAACCTTACCCTACAATTTGAACCAGGAAAATCCAAAAAGCTGCTGTTGTGGTTTCCTATACTGGTTCACCTCCCCAACATTTCACATAATTCATATTCCATAATCCCCTTTCATTTTTTCCCCCAATATGTCTGAATGCGGAGCCACTCAAACACTTGCCTACTACAGCAGAAATTTCCCCTATCCTAGGAAAGGAGTTTGAGTACATCTTTTTGTGGCAGTGACAATTATCACCACCAGCGTTGACTCTCAGTCTCCGAGAAGGTGGTTCCTCCTCTGAAGTCACAGGCCACTTCGCTGTTGTATCCGTCGCTTTCATGGATGCTGGCATCCCCTGAAGAGATAAGAAGGTTATAATGAGAAAGAAACACAATGGCATTAGCATCAAAGACCGGATGTGAGGGTGGATTTAACTATGAGGATAAACAAACTGTAACTTACTTTCGCAATATTCTGTGACAGCAGAGGCTTGGTACAACAGTGGACATCTGAAATTAAATGATAAAAGAGGAAGGAGGTTTAGTATTTCTCATTCTATATGTCAACCTTCTATTGTCTGTATAATTTACTGTATAGTGGGGAAATATGCCAGTTGTGGATTTTATATACAGTACCAGTCAAAAGGCTGGACACACTTGCTTTTTATGCAGGCTGATTAGGTTAATAAGGTGAGGTTGAACAGGGAAATCTGCAAAATGTGTTGAATTCTGGCCGCCCAGGAACAGAATTGGGGAGCATTGCCTTCAAGGTAATGAAGTATATTACAGTGACCAAGAGAAGTGATCCATCCATCTATTTTCTATACCTACAGGGTGATGGGGGCCAAGAATCTACAGGCACAAGCCTGGGAA